ATACCAAAAAATCTGACATATATAGTTTTGGTATCATCATGTTTGAAGTTTCAAAAGGAGAACGAGCTTTTCTCGGACAAGAAAACAATGATACTATTATTCATAGTATATGTAATGACAATACACGTCCAGTATTTGGAGAAAGAATTCCAGAAATTTATGTTAACTTTGCAAGCGAGTGTATGGACAAATATGCAGACAAACGTCCTGATGCAAGGAAAGTTTGTGATACTTTAAAAAGTTGGATGGAAGACAAAATTTTCGAAGACGATAATGACTATGACGTTGGAGAGAAAATTGAGTTTTCTGGAATAATTATATCAGAAGAGTGATAAGATTTTTAAAAAAATAAGATTTACAAAAACTTTAAAAACTTCGTATAAAGGAAATTTTCAAGTTTATGTGCTTAAAGAATATATGGTTTAGCAGTTTTATTTATTTTCTTGTCATGTTATTTAATATATGATTTAGTAGTTCTATTTATTTTCTTGTTACATTATTGAATATATGATTAGCAGTTCTATTTATTTTCTTGTCATGTTATTTATACTGACGTGTACATTTATATGTCGTTATGGGCTAAAAATATGGGTTTAGTATAATATGGGAGGTCAGTAGAAAAGGGACAAATTTTTTCTAAGTAAATATTTTCTCAAGCTTAGAATAAAATATCTTAACAACTACTAAAGTAAATCTTACAAATTTTCTATTATTATTTTAATTTAGTAAGTTATAGATTTAAAATAAATAAAAAAAATTTATTAAATTTGAAGATAGTTGTTGAGATATTTTAATTTAAAAATAAAAAAAAAATCATTAAAAATGATTTATCTCTTTTCTACTGACCTCCCCCCATATTATTAAAATTTTAAAGATTTGTAAATGATGTAAATGGTTAATTATCCAACTCAACCTTAGCTCTATTTAACTAAGGCCACACCAATTTGATTATCTGTTTAACATAACCCCAGAATTTGGAATTTTATATGAGTCAAAACACATTATATTAGCCAATCAAATTGCAGCATTAGTAATTATGTGTATTCAATATTTTTTTACATTATTTCTAGCCAATAGAATTACAGGTTTTTTTTTTTTTTGTTTTTTTTACATGCCCACCGGCTATCCTATGTTATGTTAAACAGAGAATCAAATTGGTGTGGCCTAATTAAATAATATGTTTATTAAATAAATTCAATAAAAAACTAATATATTTATTAAATAAATTCAATAGTAATGATTAAAAAATTATAAAAATTTTGATTATATCATTTCAGATTTTCTTTAACCATTTTTCTGCGACCGTACTTCCTTTCTTTATTGCTTTCACCCAATACTTTCTTGCTTCCTCTATGTTAATATCCTGACCAAGTCGTCCATTATATAAGATATCCGCCCAATATTCTAGTGCTTTTCGATTTTCACGATCAACAGCCATTCTTAAATACTTAAGGCCGAGCATCTCATTATGAACATCTGAATCATTATTGCAGAAAAGGTATATTTCTGCGCAATATATTTGTGCCTCTACTATTCCAGCGTCAGCTGCTTTATGTAGGTAGTCAATTGCTACATTATCATCTTTTTGAACGCCATACTTATTACCGCCATGCAAATAATAACCACAATAGAATTTCGCTTTTGCACTGTCTGCATGTGAAAGCGTCGCATATCGTTTGAATAGTGGGAAAGCCTCATTATACTTCCCTTCCCCATGCAATTTAATTATGTCTCCGATTGGCGGAAGCTCTTGTTCCTCATATTTAATTGAAAATTTCTCGTGCTCCCCATGTCCGCTTAATGGTTTTATTGTATCATCTATTTCCATCTCATTAGAGGTGGATGTTGACGACGAGCCGCCGTGGGAGACAGGTAGAAGACCGCAGCTGTTTTGATATCGTTTTGTCAAACTGTGAAGTTTTTTTCTTAATTCTACAATAGTCGGCCGTTTATTTTTATCATTTGACCATCCTAGTTTAATTAGGTCGATATACTCGACAGGTGCATTATCGGAAGGGTCAGGTTTTGGGCGATGACCTTCAGTTATGAGTCTACTGACTAATGTGTCCTCTTTGATGTCTTCAAATGGTATTTTGCGCGTTCCGATCTCCCATAAAACTATTGAAAAGCTGTATGTTATATAAATTTTAGTTTAAATAGGAGACGAAACCAAATATATTGAAACGAGTCATTTTAATCAGGATAGGAAAAAACATGCCAGATTAAAGCGAAATTAGATTAAAATGGAATTTTTCTGATTTTAATTTGAAAATCATAAGTTATGTTAAAAGGTTTAAAACGTAATTTTTAAATTAGGTTTTTTAACATTAGAGTTTGGATTTAGGACTATTAATAGAAGAATTTAAGTGGGCTTTAGGGTCAAAGGAACTCTAAACTTCATTTTAATCTGATTTCATTTTAATATGCGAAAATAACATTTTAACATAACCAACCTATAGACATCACATTGTTTGGTGTAAGCAGTATAAAGTCCCGATAATTTTTCTGGTGCCTTCCATCTAAGTGTTTGGATAATACGTGGGAACAATTATTAATACGGATAATATGTGTAGTAAACTTATAAATAAAGCATCGAAAGACAAAAGCGTATATACCGAAATTTATATGTAGTTTCTGCACTACTAGTTGTTGTTATTGATCGATTTGCTAGCCGACTATAGTCAAATCCTGTTAGTTTAGGCTCTAAATGTTTATTCAATAACACATTTTTACTGCAATTAGAATGTTCGAGAATTTTAGTATTACATACAGTAATTGGATGCTAAAACTTCAATTCTGGAAAGGCCAACCATTAAGTCTACATGCCTCGTTACATCATGATGAAGAATATCCGCTTGATGAATAAATTCTAAGGCATTAGCAATTTGTTCTGCAATTTTAAGCCTATTTAACCATGGAAGTTCTTTATCGCTTCGGAGAAAATCCGCAAGATTTCCATATTCGGCCCATTCTGTAACGATAAAAATTTCGTATCCAGTGTGACGAGTACCAATACTGTACGGGAATAGAAAATATAAATTTGCAAGATAATTTTAACATAATAATTGCGAATCGTCAAAATAGAGTTGCTATATTGAAAAGGGATGAGCTTCATGCGTTCACATGGTTGTGAATTCATGCGCATTAATGTGCATTCATGCGCATTTTATCCTATCGAATTTTATATTAAAGATATAGGTTATAAAATAATTTTTTATATAAAATGCGCATTTTTCCCATCTCCAATATTGACACATAAATTAGAGACAAAAACATAAAATCAATAAGTTACCGTTTCGACTCAAGTTATGGATACTTATTGAATTATATTTTATCCCTAATTTATATATCGATATATTTAACTTCATTTCTGAAAATTTGCTTTAAGGTTAAACCTTTACAACTGTAATTATCCTGTACTGCTTAAATATAACTTGAGAATATTAACAATGAATATAGAATTTTTGCAAGCTGAAGAATACTTACAATTTTTCAATATTATTGCAAAACGATAATTTTGACATAATCATAACATAGTTATCGACAGTCTTAACCTCATCGTAATTTTCAATTTTCTTGACTGCAACCTTTTGACTCATATACATCTTACACTTTATTTTGCCTCTTATTTCTGGTTCTTCATCTTCATCATAAAAAAGCTCAGAATTCAGTCTTGTTTTGTTCAATTCAAATTCAGGTGCATCAATACCTTTTCTAATTGAACTTATTTCATCATAAATTTTGACATTTAAAGGTATACTCATAATGTCTTTTGTATTTTGGTAGAGAACGTCGTTGTGGTTGAGCTTGAGTGTATTACAGAACTCTATAATAACATTGTCGATGAAGCTTACGAGGGCTTGATATAACTGGGGATGCTATATGATTAAGATGTATGTTATATTTAGTCATAACATGCAGAATATCTGACACATTTTTGCACTTACTAGTTGAAAGTTAAATGCTTTAGTAATCTTTATGAGGAATGTTTTACTAAATTTTTCGGGTTTTCTTAGTTCTTCTATGTACTCCTTGATATCAGCGAGAATTGTAATATACTGTTTATAAGCATCTTTGCAGCTTTCTTCTGGAGGATTCGAGTTTATTAGCCAGATGCTGTGATTCTTGACGCGTTGAGCAAGAGGCATAATTATTTGCTTATTTCGCTCCGCCATATCAGCCAAATTTAAAACTTCAAAGGCTTCTTTTGCCACAGACTGGCAATCTGAGACTAGTTGGATTCCTCTTGATTTTATATCATTTAGTACTGATTGCAGTTCCTCAATTAATTTAACATTGTCCATATTTAGATACAGTTACTTAAAATTAACACAGTAATTTGGATGATAGTGAGCAAATTGAACCAAGCACCAAGTTGCTTTCCTATGAATTTTTTTATTTTCAGTTTTATTTTTTTACTTAATAGAGCTTGTTGTTATTTTTATTTAATAATAAAAAGATAATAATAAAGTAATCGCTTTTTCTTCGGTTTAATGAAATTATAATGTGAACTGTTTTTAACCAGTGTTCGATGTTTAATATTTTTGACGTTTTCAAGAACACTAAAATTTAAATTTATTATATGTCATTATTAGAGAACACAATTTTGAAGATTTTATGTTTAATTATATCAAATTAATTTTTTTCCGAGACAAAAATATAGTCAGCACACGATAATCCGATGCATCTGGATTTTTTGGTGCACATTTATTCTTGGGATTACATAATCTGTACTGCTACATGATCAAAATATTTGTCGCAATAATAAGTTATAGTTATTGTATGGGTTGTAAAAAATAACTAAATTTGCACGGGTTAACGTTACATGGCTTTCGGCCATGTAACCCGTGCAAATATAGTTATTTTTTACAACCCATACAATAACTATTTTATTGCACAGTGTCTGACATACAATCCCGTGCCAATAAGCAAATGAAAAAAGCACGGGTTGTTACATAAGACCCGTGCAATAAATGACTAATATTACCTTTTGTAAAACTGATTTACGTTACATCCAGTGTACAAATTAGTGTTCTCAGATG